AATAGAAACTTGAATCCTATGTGTTACAAGACAAACCCAAATGGTTTATCAATTTTTCACTAATAGGATAGTTTATAGACTACTGTGTTATTATGTCCGAAGCTGGTAAATATTCCAAGCTTCTGGATTGTGTAGTACAATACTTATCAAAGCACATAAATTATTACATTAAACAGTCGATTTGAAGGTGTTAAGCTTCTGGATTGTGTAGTACAATACTTATCAAAGCACATAAATTATTACATTAAACAGTCGATTTGAAGGTGTTAAGCTTCTGAACTATGTAGTACAATACTTATCAAAGCACATAAATTATTACATTAAACAGTCGATTTGAATGTGTTAAGCTTCTGAACTATGTAGTACAATACTTATCAAAGCACATAACTTATTACATTAAACAGTCGATTTGAAGTGTTAAGCTTCTGGACTATGTAGTACAATACTTATCAAACCAAATAACTTGTTACATTAAACAGTCGATTTGAAGGTGTTGCTTCTGTATTGTGTAGTACAATACTTATAAAAGCACATAACTTATTACATTAAACAGTCGATTTGAAGGTGTTGCTTCTGAATTGTGTAGTACAATACTTATCAAAGCACATAAATTATTACATTAAACAGTCGATTCTGGACTGTGTAGTACAATACTTATCAAAGCACATAACTTGTTACATTAAACAGTCGATTTGATGACGTTAGGCTTTTGGATTGATTTATACAATATCTCGTATATGAAGCACGTGACCAATTTATATACAATGTCTTCTCATAATAAAACGATGAAATGAAGACTCCTTGAATTTATAAGACACGTTCTTGTATAGGACACGACTTGTTGAATAAGAGCCCATTTCACACTTGTAGAACAAACTCGTTAAAATTAAAATGTAAAAGTAAGATCCAAAATCCCATGAAATGATCACACGTGCCTTGTTATATCTATATACCCTAATATTAGAGAGTATATTTAAGAGTATTAATAATGCACGCGACGCATAAAGATGACATTCGATTACTTTACGATAATGATTAGCACGTATAGGAATGGAGTAATAAATTTTTGTAATGATTAAAATTATACGGTTTTACGACCGTACAGTTATTTCTGTGGTAGCAAGGCCAAAAAAATATACCAAATACTGTTATTCGATGGACACAAAGTACTTAGAAGTAACACAGAGGTGACGTACGTACTTTGTGTCCACTGTAGTAAAAAATACTGAAAATTGACGTTCATAATGTTAAAGCATCCAATAATAAAAGTTAAAATTTTTATAACCTTGAAACTAGATAATTCTCGCATCCAATAATCAGATTTCACGTGTTTCTAATCTTACTGTCGCATTCAATAATAAGTTAATATCTATTTTTAAGAATACTGAAAACAAAGTTTGGATTATGATGCAACGTATATTTAAAACTGTTTTAGCATTATTCACCGTCAACTGACATTAAAAGTTTATTAACGTTGAATGTCTACGTTAGTATTAAATAACATTGTTTCAACAATCAAAAGAACAGATTTTCAAACACACTCACTGTCCACTGTAAAGGATTATAATTACTGGTATTGTGGGGACATTTTCTTTTGAATAATGGAAGCGTTACTATATAAAAGTTTGGGCTTTACAACATATCCAAGTAGTTTGATACGTTTATATCATATAAACACAAAATTAAGCTACTTTTTTTACATTATACAGAGTAGTAAGTTAGTTTTAATATCTCATCAATTGACGCAGATTAAGCAGAAACAACTGTTGTATAAACAGTTTAAATATACATAATAATGTCATACTTATCAGATATATATAAGTCCTAGCGGAAATAGTTGTAACCATTTATACTGATTTCAATAATCGTGGTACGTATTCTTGAACGTTTGACATTTTAAACTCTCTCTGTATGTATATGATAAATGTGATGAGCAATGAACACTTTCTCTATCAGTAACAATAGTTTGCATATATAAATATGATTGTTTACATTGTTTAAAGCTTCAAAATGCCGAAGCAATAAGGCTCACAATGTAAAGGGTAGGTAAAAAAAAAGCGTTAAATGAACTTTCTTCGTACCAATGACTTATACCAACAAAGTGAAATTGACGAGAACCCGCATACCGACTACTGGTAAGGAGGTTGAATTTACCAGGTTGGTATTTTCAGTCATGCCTCATATGTACACCTGTATTGCACGGGTAAAGGAAACTGTCATTTTGACAGTTGTTGTTTGTTAGTTTTTCTGTTCTGTACAAACACTAGTAATACATGAAACTTAACATCAACAATATATATATATTTTAACTTGATATTGACCCTTTCTAGCTTCGGTATTTCTCTGTTACACACTTGCCGTAGCTGTTAAAGAAATGACACTAGTGTTACGTTTATATGACAGTGTCATATAATCCGAATAAATCATCTTAGTGTGATTCTTATACAAATGTGCACATTAACACAATCAATGTATATAAAGTTTTACGTGTTACTTACATTACAAAGCGACAATCTAAACAGCACACGTAGCTATAGAAAAAGCAAGAGATTCTAAATGGATGAACAAGGCTCTAACTATTAACTAAAGTCAAATGTAATGTATAATAACGGTTTTACTCAGCTCAGGTGTTTGGATAGCATGGTAAGTGAACTCGAGACTCGGAAAAGCTCTAGATAGCCCATAATTACACATTAAAAACTGTGTTAAAAACAACGCAAACACAAGCCTGATGTTTGAATGGCTACAACACTATAGTTCTAGTTCAAAACAACACAATCATTGTGGGCTAACAAAACATAACACAACAGTGTTAGCTGATTCATAATATTTCTGTTGAATTGTATACAATCTACATACGCATGATAAAACGTGACTTTACAAAGCAACAATATATTTAAGTAAACACAATTTTCTATTGAAAACCACACGTCATTTGTGTTGTTAGAAAACACATAAATTGTGTTTTTATCGCTACAACAATTATTTTAGTCATGCTACACACAAATCTCTGTAAGGGGACCAAACTTGTGTTGTGAACTAACACGATTTTTGCAACACAGTGTACACAGATGAGTCTGGATAATATTTCTGGATTAAATTTACGTTAGAGTGTGAGAATAGGTTAATATAGAATACACTTAGAAATGGAGGGAAATATTATTGATAGAATTTTTAAAAATTCTCTGTTCCCAGTGATGTTTTGATGTTAATAATGGTATCACAGAGATACTGTATGTGTATTATTCAGGAACACAGAGATACTGTACGTCTATTATTCAGGAACACAGAGATACTGTATGTGTATTATT